TGATGTGAATCCAGGGACTTGATGCTCTAGAACACCGGTCATGGATACCTATCCTGCTGGGCGCTAGCACGTTCACCCAAGAGTCTGTGACTGAACTGGGGAAATGGCCAATCACTCTCCTTCAAGTGACCTTTTTTTGTGGAACCCACCGACCACATTCGGAGAAGCGGCTCTCCAAGCCCAGTGCGGCCATTTCTTCAGAAGCGGCTGCGAAGTGCCCTTCTCCCCCCCCAAAAAAACAAACATCCCTACGACTTGCGACTTGAAACACAAAACCTTAAGACCTAATGTTGATGCCATTTGGCCGCACGACCGGATCAACCAATGCCTTTTCTCCGCTCGCTTCAGCCGCGGGTCGCTCCGCGGAGCGAGAGCTCTACGGAGCATGCCAGACGCAGACTGGGGCCGCTGGGTGAAGACGGCGCCGGGAAGAGACAGATGGGCCCCTTCTTCGATCTGGTGCCCCTCAACAGAACTCAACAGTCATGGACACCATCATGCACGGCCGCCTGATCTGAAGGGAGCAAAGGGCACAACGTGGTGATCAACCGCCGTGCTGGAGAATAAGGCGGGCCTATAGGGAGACACGGTGGTCCTCTGACTGCGAGAGCTGCCCAATTCGGGCTTTTTGCGCTGGCAGGCTCGCACCAGATTGGCTGAAGAATGACATCTTCAGAAAACGTTTCCTTTAGCTTCATCTCCATGTCTAGCGTTCTTGTTCCTATAGTAGGGATGTCCTTGCTCCTAGTAGCGTTCTTGCTCCTAGTAGCTCGTTTTCCTGACCACGCCAGCATGAGCTCCAGAGCTCATCGGTCTCCCAAATCCACTGGTCGACGCGATCCGAATCCCCAATCGATGTTCACAATGTCCACATGATCCGAATCGCCGTTCCTTTGAGGTTTTCTCCCTAGCCTTAAGAATCCTTTGGGCTCTCCATGGCAGGGGTCGGACCCTCAAGGCCCTATATGTGTTGGTTCAGGCCCGGATTCTTAGGGTACTGGGATTGTGGGGGGCTTGGCCCCTTTCTGTACCGGTCGCAGGGCGAGGGGTCCCGAGGTACCGGGGTCAGTACCGGGGTCGCCTGGGCAGTTGGGACCCTCAAGACGATGGATTTGCCGACCCTCCGGTGGCCCAGGTCTACAGAGCCTCTTCAAAACTCCTCGGGCTGCGCCTCGGCATCCCAAAAAACCTCCGGTGCTGCACTCGAACCGAGCCAACAAGTACTAAGGAGTAACGCGTGTCCTTCAACCCTTGCAAACTTACCCACTGGTCCTTTCAGTAGGTCCTCGCGGGAATAATTATAGGAGTTAGTTTGTTTTGTCCTGGTTTTGCCAGTGCCAGCACCACCCGACCTTTTCATTCAGCTGCAACAAACGCAGGCACGCAAGCAATGCAGGCAAGCAATGCAGGCGAGCAGGCAAATGTGCGCGGGCAAGAACCAGCAAGCAGGGGGTTGCACCTGCACGCTTGCACTTGCACCTGCGACGCGAGGAAACGCAGCCGGCACAGCAGAAAACAATCGCAGCACGGAGGAAACCAGACCCCGAGACGCTTAGGTTCAAGGCATGAAGTTTGCCATGAGCATCGCCAACATCGTGGCCAAGCTCCGACAACCGGCGCCCTCGCCTGCAGTGGATGTTCGCCATGTGCGCAGGTGGGTAAAAGGGCGCGTGTTCGGGGTGTAGCTGGTCGATGCTCTGGGGATCTGGCGATGGTTTTCTCGAACTGGGTCAATCCCCAAACCTTGAGATTAAAATTTACATCTTTTTCCGACCCAACGACTAATTAACTGCACGCAGGCGACCGGCTAGTACCGTACAGCTGCCTGAAGCGTTCCGGCTTCCTGGACAGGACATCCACTTCAACCGATGAACCGTTGACGGATGTTGACGGTCAGGCCGAAGGTGCCGCAGGTGCCGCAGGTCTGCAGGCCCTGGCCGTTTCGGCGCACCGGTTCCATCAGACCATCGGACGTGGACGGCCCTGGCCAAAGCCAAAGGGCTCCCTCCCTTGCAAAGCCTGTGCGGCATCCACTTCCATGATGGTGGTACCCCAAAAATACTATAGCCGGTGAAGACTATTTAGAACTGGTTGGAGCTGTTTTCGTCGTGTAAAACGAGACCCTAAAACTGGGCCAGGAAGCCGACGGAACCGGTCCCATCTTCGATCCAGGGAGACGCCAGCCGTCCGGTGTGGTGTTTGACATGGCGCAAGGCGAACGACGGCGCAAGGTTCATGCCCAACCAACGCGGGGCCGGATGTTTAGAGTTTTTGGCGTTGGCCAGTCAATGAAAACTTGGTTTCTGCCTTGAGTCGGGAACAAGGCTTTTTGACTGCACGATTTTGGCTATGTAGTTCTCACCCATGCACTTGTCGATGCCAATCAAATTCTCAACAATTGTTAGCACGTAAATCTGAGTTCTGTGGAGGCCAGCACATGTTCCTTGACAATCTATTGTGTTTTCACAGTGGTTGGAGGCTCAATGATTTCTCAACATTTTTTGATTCGGGGTCATGTTTCACAATGCTTGGCATTGTGCGGTTTTCGCATGTTTCCGCTTGCAACATGCAATCGCTGCTTTTTCTGCGCCGAGGACGAGGTCAAGACCATCGTAGACCAGCTCAGTTTCTAGCATATCACGACGGAAGTGACGATCCCACGCATCCTGGCAGCGGTCTGAGCGCAGGACCATGGCAAGGGCCGGATTGAGGACCTACTGCATTTGCATGGGCATCACAATGCTGCTGCCACTACCTGGCGTGGGGGATAGTTCATCACCGTGACAACTGGCCCGTCAACACCCAATCGAAAGGCCCTGAAGTTTTTTGGAGGCTGGGGCATGATTTTTCAATATTTGCATGCTGCTTCAGGGTCAGATACTGTGGTTTCAGAGTAGATGGCACGATCCCCCAATGTCAGTGGTTTGCACATGGACCCCCATCTGTCTAAGACATGTAGGGGTGCCAGCATCGAACGTTGGAAACTACTACTGTACTTCCGGCCGGACCCGATGTCCTCACCATGTGAGCGAGCCCGCGAAGCTGGTCCTGGTGAACTGCATGGGTGATTGGTTTCCCCGAACTGGGCTGGCTGGCCCGCTGTTTCATTCCCACAATTGAAGGGCAGTGTTTATGGCCTTGGACTTTACCAACCCCTCACACTCAAGATTGCTTGTTGAACAGTTGCTGTAGCGTACGAAAGGCCTTTGTAAACGAACAGGGGAACGCTTCCAGCGGCTAAATGGTGCTGAATCTGCGTAATGAATTGCCGTGCATCTTGCACAAAGTCTTTCATCTAGATTGCGCGCAAGCAGATTACGCTTCTTATTCTGGTCCAACATGCAGAATTCGCTCATGTGCACATACGTAGGCATAGTGGCAGGAAGTGTAGCAGACCATTTCGATGTTTTTGCTGGTTTTTGGACGCTCCGATTGATCGAGTTGGAGATGGTTCATGAGTTTGTTAACAATGCGTTCTTTTTGGGATGGTGTGCTCCTGGAGAACCAGTTGCCATGCAAAACACTGCCTTTGCCTTTCAAATCTAGCATAACAGCCACAAGAATGACGTCCGTCCACCTTGTCATCGCTTGCCTTCTAGCTGCTGTCGTGTGTTCTCCTTGGGGAATACCACTGTCTTCTTGTTGAGTCGGCGGCACGCCGCGCGCAGCACCTCCGCGCCCGCACCTCGTGGCATGAGGCATCGAAGTCTTTCGGGACGCCTTGCTGGAGCTTTTTGCCTCGGAGTCTCCTGGCACTTGTGGGTGGGTCCGGAGTCAGCAAGGCCAGCCGGGCGGGTACTTGGTCTTTCGGGTCAGCGGTCTGACGTTGAACACGGTCATCACCGAGAGCGCGGAGAGTGTCGATTCGGTTGACAAGTGGATGCTGGTGTTTGGTGTGTTGTTTTTTCTTTTTCCGATGGAAGTGCCATGCACCAGGAGGGAGAACGTGTCCCCTAGGCTTCCAACAACCATCAATTTAATAGGCTTTACCGAATCAACTAAGGAGTTTACACTACAAACACCAGGTCAACCAGTTTTAAATGGGCTCGGAAGTCTAGGAAGTCCTAAACGTTCTGAACTTCATGTCGACGTTGTAATTTGGGCGGGCTCAATGTTTGGTCCAGAGACATGACATGAGCGTTAGGGGTGAAACTACCAAGGGCTCCTCATGCCTGGAGTGGCCAGGATAGATCCTATATCACCGCCACTGCGTTTGGGCTTTCCCCTGTTGAAGGCTAATACTCTGAGGTTGGGAGACGATGTTTTCACCGACGATATCCGAGTGAACTTGGCCAGGAGAGGGGCCTGCCCGGAGGGAAGCGTTAGTGGCTGGCAGGGGCGGTGGCATCATTTCAAAGCCCATGAACGGGAGCGTCTCCTGTTTCCAGGTGACATCCGAAGAAACCATTGTGAGGTCTAAGAAATCAGGCTGGTGACCAGGCGGGGAGTTTCTGTCAGTGGCTTATAACCACCTTTTGTTGTCCGGGACGTGTTTTACCGTAATCGCTGAACTTGGTCTTTTCACAACACTCATATAATAGTGTTCAGGCTTTGGACGTGAAAAACCGTTCAGGATGTCAAAAGGACGTGAATTCACAAGATGGACGTAAATGTTGCGAGAACTTGCAAAAAGCTATCTTTTAGCATCCTGGACTGGAATTGGTATCTATCCAGGGTAGCAGGTAAATAAATCATCCCAGGTTCCAAGAAAGATGTTGTCTTGTTCTGTTATAGTTATTGTTGTGTGTTTTTTTGTGCTAACTTTATTTTGGATCCCTTTATTAAGCAGGGCGGAAACTTGGCTAACTTTGTTTCGGATCCCTTTATTAATGGTCGACATTATATTCTTATTGCTGTCGGCACCTGGAACTCCGAGAGGACGTGCCCCCCCATTTGTACACTCCCCTTCAGCTCCGGTGTTTCACCACTGCTTTCAGTCCAATACGCAGTCTCCACTTGGCCTTTGGGCTCCACCGGCTTGCTTCCGGTGCAAACGCCCCAGCGCGTAGTTCCTTCTTGCGCGCTTGCCAATTCCGCCCCGTGATCCCCTACGTGGAAACAGACGCGGGCAGACATGGCTGGAAGTGCCTTGGATGGCTGAGGGGTGTCGGCCCAGATCAGGAAAGAGACCGGTGTGTGTCCCTAGGGATCCAAGTACCTTCTCAGAAGGCACCTGGACCCTCCAAACCCACCCCAAACACCTTCTGAGAAGGTACTTGGAATTTCCAGGGGTGAGTGTCCGAAAGCCAAAACGCGGTGCTTACGGCACCACACGACTTGCGTGTGGGGCTGGACCTGCTGGACCTGCATGCGACCTGCTGGACCTGCAAGCCAGATGGGTACCAAGAGCTTTCTTTGTTTCCTGGTTTTGCAGATCAGTTGATTCTTGATTTTCCCGAACGAGTTGAATCCTCTCATCTGGGGAATGTGTACATATTATTTGGAGGTGTCCATCAATGGGGGTGCCCCACAAGGATACAAAAAGGATGATTTATGTTCAAACAACCCATTAGAATGGATGATTTGGGGGTCCCGCCATTGATGGAAACCATCATTTTGTTTACCCTTGGCATCCCTTTGCATGGTCCAACAGTGTACCCGATGTCAATGCCAAGCTCGGAGGCCGTGCGTTTGCAGCGACTGAGGGGTCGGGGCATGGACGACAAGGGTCTGGTATAATTACACCCTGGAAGACTAACATGAACCCTGAAAATGGTGAGTAGAGGAAAGCAATCTTCCAGGCGGCTATTGTCAGGGTCCATGTTCGTTTTCAGGAGTGTACTCGTTTTCGGGCCTCCGCGAATCCACATGGTCGACACATGTCACAGCCTCAGAACCCGCAAGCGAAGGTTTGATATTGTTCGTTCCAGACGGGACGCTGGATCCAGGTACCGGCCTTTTCCAACATCTCCATTTGGCAACCAATTCCCAGACGCTCCATGGGACTGGAATATATGCCGATCAGTTGGGGTGGTTTGGGGAGTCAATGTAGGCATATATTACATACATGGAGTGTATGGGATTTACTTAACAAATCAACTACATAGAGGCGGCCAAACAGAGCAAGACCCTTTCCCTACTTCCGCCCCTCCTGAAACCCTCCGCTTGTAGAAAAAGATCATCACATTTGGATCGTCCTCTTTTGGCATCAACGAACCTCCGCGCCACGCGCTTCGGACGTCGTGCGCCCGCTCGTCGGCCGTTCGCCTCCGCTCGAGGCGATGTGGGGCTGCCGCGGGGGCTGCCCAGCGGCCCACCACCACCGCCGCCGGGGATCGAAGCCCCTGACTACCACCACGACATTGCGCGTGCCTGGGGATGCGGAGCGATGCGGGGCCTTATGCCTTGTAGGAGGAGGTTCTTTGGGAAGGAGAATGTGATGCGTTTTTGGGGAGAAGAAGGGATGAGATTTCGATTCACAACGGAGACTGGGAAGGATTTCGACATGAATTATGATGGATGTTTCTTCTTTGCAGGGGGATGCTGACAGGATTTTGTCATTCTTACACGGGGGAGGTGGAAAGCCCAATATGACTTCGGAACCCATTCAGGCAAACGTGCTGGGGAGTCACAGATCTCCCACTTGCGCGTGCTTGGTGGTGCAAGATGTTTTGAACGTTGGTGGGCGGTTCATGTGTTCAGAAGCTTACGTACATGTAACTATTTTGTGACTTTGGCGAGTTGATCCCCTTGTCTATATCCTCTATGAAATGGAGGTGGTGCAACTGCACCCCTTTAATAAAACGATTTATGGGCCCTACTTCCTGGGGGTCAGGTGTTGAACTTGACCCACTTCAGCCTCCCAACTCTAAACTGTTGCAATCACACACCATCAAACCACCGAACAGTTTACCAAGCATGCGTCAGTGGAGGCTTCGCCTCCGCATGCTTGTGACACGTGTGCTACCAGAGCGGAGGGCCTGAAGATTGCTAGCTGGGAGCGGAGTCTCAACACTTGGGGGGGGGGCTCCTGGGGTTCGGACATGGGTTTCCTTACTAACTTGACAAAAAGGCACGTGTCACGTGCACAGAAAAATCCATGTGGAGAGAGAGAGATAGGGAGGGGGTGGAGATTGATGTACCAACAGCAACTACCGCTTGCATCGAAAGCAAGGCTATTCTGCCGGAATCCGTTCTTTATGGGACCATGGCAGTGGTCCCCGTGGGACCGTGGGTTGGCCTTGGGGGGAAACACCCAACCTGCCGCGGAAAAACGTGGCGTCCAGTCCGGTCGCCCAGGTGACATTGGTCAGCAAGTGGAGGTGATGATTTTGGATGCCAAGCATGCGTCCGAGAATCGGGTGGGCAAGGAGATCCAAAAGATCAAGCCCCTGGGCGAAGCGTACTCGCCACACTCCCTTTGCAAAGCGTGACTTTTTGCGGAGTCGCGCACAACTCGGCGGGTCACTCGCGCGCGGGGTTTGGGTGGGGCTGGAAGCGGACAACATTTGGGATCCTGGGGAGGAAACGGGCGGAGTTCTTCAGCACAGCGGAGTTTGTCATGTTTTGGTTTGTTATGGCAGTACGGGTTTGTTATGCCATTCGTTAGCAAAATGTTCGGGATGAGCATGAGGCAAACCTCGCGTTTGGTGTTTTTTCGAGCATGCCGTATGGCACATTTTGTTGGAGCGATTTTTGACTTGGCGGAGGTAGAATTAGTTGTTTGTGAAGGCTGCCGCAAGTTGCAGCTCAACATCTGGTTGCCCAAGGTTGTCACCAGAGGTCACGTGGAACTTGGACAATTTCGGGGGTTCTAGTGACCAGTGCTTAGAATCCACACTCCTTCGGCTCTGGGTGCCAGAGGCCGATCGCATGGAATCTGGATGGATCCCTTATTGCCAACATTGCTTTCTTTTCGTAGCGATGCCCTTTGCTCCGTTCGTAGCTTCTTAGTGCATGGGTTTCAGGGATTGGAGCCCCATCTTCCCCCATCCTTCATCATCTTCATCTTGCTTCGTTTCGCTCTCCCCCCATTTGTTCGACTCGCGAGCAAAAAACGATGTTCAAAGAAGAGCTGAGGCAGAAGATGGAGGCCATGGCTGAGAAGATCAAGTTGATCAACGACAAGGTGGCGCAAGTGGAGCCTTGGAGGGAACCTGTGGCGCCTCGCCATCCGCGAGCGAGGGCGCCACCCAGGCCCAGCGTCCTTCGCCACCAAGTTGGGTGGAAAAGGATCGAAAAGCACCGGGGAGATGTGAGGGCGGTGCTGGTGAAGCCTCGTTACGTTACTAGCGTCCTCTTGCTACGTTCGTCGCGGGGTCCGGACGTTGAAGGCCAAGGTGCCTGAGCAGCGTCCATGTGGAACGGAACTGGTGCTTGCGGGAAATGATCTGCCGCAATTTTCAACAGAACAACTGGTGTTTGGAATGTATGATGTGGTATTTGCCCCACTTTGTCCATATGCCCGACCATCCCCATTTGGAATGATGGATGATGATAGATGGATTAATTCTATTTAATCTGGAAGTGCTCGCCGAAATGGACCACAGTTTTGGGGTTCTTTTCAGGCTTCAATCGGCCAAAAAATACGAGTGTCACACCAATTCAGGCTCCCAAGCCTAGGCTTCCAAGTTCTTCATCTCCCGGATGCTTGGCGTTTGAAACACATCAACCTTCGGGGTTTGAGCTTGACCATTGAGCTGCTCTACCTGCTCGGCCCTGCTCGGCCTGAATCAGGCCATAAATTGGGGTTTCCAGAGCCTGGAGCATTTGCAGCGCTGCAACGCTGCACGGGTTCTTCCCGGTCGGTTCTCCAAGTTTCCAAGATCCTTCGCTTTCGAACCCGGACGTTGCCGATCCGCGCGCGGGCGGGGCCGCGCCAAGGAGCCCTCCGCCAAGGGGCTGTTGAAGACCGACCTGCAAGCCAGCATCGCCGCATGGTGGAAGGAAGGTGGAGGGCTGGGTCGTTGGCAGAATCAGCTGCCTGGTGAAGTATGTTCAGTGAGTTGACATTATATGCAATTAGCATGAATGCGTTGAATAATAAGCAGTTTAACTGCATTTTTAACGTGATGAACTGTCTTCACTTGCCCTAAACAGCATTGCAGTCCAGATCTCCTAAACATACATGGTGCTCTCAAAATAGGGGTCTTCTGCCGAGCGAGCTGAGCGAGAGCAGAGGCCAAGCTTGAGGAAGTTTGGGAAGGCGAAGTCGGAACCTTGAAGCATGAGCTGTGGCAAACCATCCAGGATCCGGGGTCCCGGGGGGGGGTTGTGGAGGCGGGCGGTACATGACAGTGGAGCCATGGCTAAAGAAGAAAGACGTGTTACGGTGACGTGAGTGAAGAACGGCACATGACTGACTTGACAAATGCTCACACATGCCCTAAGGTTGTCAGATGTATTCAATCTCACCCTCATTTCACTAATATTTGAAGTGATCCATGGGAACCACTCCAGAGGCTCAGAGGCTTTCCCATACGACCTGCATGTCGTATGGGACGGTGGTAAGACACACAATCGACCATCACTTCCTTGAAAGATTCGACCTGCGCCTCGCAGGCGCACAATCACAATGCGGACCTCCTGAAGCACCACAAGGACGCCATAGACCAAGTCCAGAGCAGCCCCTCGGCCTCGTGAAACATTTTCTGCGGACCTCACTGCAGCGCCGCCGGCCATTTGGGGAAGATTGCACGTCTGGTTCTCCCAAAATAGTAATTATACGACCTGTACGACTCAACTCCTTGCAAGAGAATGTTCCTCGAAAGAAACATGTTCTTTGCGTCATTCCCCGATCAGCTCAGATGTTTCGATTTCGATGAGTTTCATCACAGTTCATCACTAGTTAGCAGTACTCTTAGTCTCCATCAGTGGGAAGGGCACGACTTGTATGACCAGGTGAATGACATGTCATGATTCCCCCAGGTTAGTGGCAACATGTCCCACGGTGGCGGAACAGCTAAGACATGGCAAGGCGGTAGGATCAAGGGCGGTGATGTCAGAAGCGGCCACACATGAAGAGTTTCGAAGGGAACTAAGGTGGCACTTGGATTACTAAGTGCAGCTTGAAGTAGTACTGCAACTAAAGTATATCAATTCGTAAGTGGCAGTTGGAAGAGCTGGCGCTCTCTTTCAACCTCCCAAACTTTGGCACTTAGCAACCTTAAAGGATTTAGGATTTAGGACCTACAATGTGCCAACCTGTTTGCATAGGCCTGGTCCAAATTTGATTGCACCCAACGCATCCCAATGCTATGACAGGTAAACATTGGTTGAACGTGGGGCAGGTTCATAGAACAATGCTATGCCCCTCAGCCACCATACCCAACTTGGAGGCCAACCTGAGCTCTTTGCTGAGAAAGTTTGTAGCTTTTTGGAAACTCTCTAGTTGACTTACGCATGGAGGGCCCCCAACGCCATGGCCGCCATCAGGCAGCGTGGAAGGTGGACACAGCAAATGCTGTCAGTGTTCAACGAAGGGTAGAAAATGTGAAAAGAGGTTCCTGCACACAAGTAAGCTTGAACCGTTATTCCCACAACCTACTTCTCTTGGTGTTGTGCTGCCAGAGTTCTGGCGATGTCTTCAAGCCGTGGTTATGGGAGAGAACTTCCGAGCTAAGGAATGACTGATGTACCTCCCAACCCCGAGCTGGACCAAGCTGCTTGGCTGAACCAGCTGGCTGGGGATGGTTTGCCATCCAAAAGCATCAGCACCTCCCATGGGATGGGCAAATTTGTTTGAGCACCAGATAGATGGATATATATATAATATATATATATAATAGAGAGTCCTTCTTTGGCAGTGGCCGCTTAAGAGAACCACTCAGAGTCAAAAGTCGTAGAGAGAGAGAGGTTCCATTTCAGAAGATATAAGTCGGATAAGAGTAATGTAGACTCTTGATTAATAAACCCTCCCATTTGAATTGGAAATCCTTCTCATGTGGGGGGTTTATTAATCAAGAGCCTACGTTAGGACCACAGTCGCTTGAGCAAGAGAGTCAGACAAGTTCCACCGCTTTGCGCACCAGGTGCATTTGCAGCTGTTGCAGGTGGATAAGGTCCTCCAACGGGAGATGGCGAAGGAGGCGGCGAAGGAAGGATTGTTTGTTTTGGGGCTGCGCCGTTTTCTTTTTCTTTTCTCAGTCGTGCTGGTGCAGCGAATGACCGTAGCAACAGCAACATTATGTTTGGCCCATAGACACTCATATAAGTGTCTCCCTTTTGCTCTGTTTTGTTGCCTTTGTGCGGCTCGAAGCATGCAGCTACCTGATCAAGCCATGGAATTCAAATAGATGTCAATCGATGTTGATTTCGATGTGCCTAATGGTGGGGCCGAAACTCGGGTTTAACCGGTCGCTGCATGGTGGGAACCAGCTAGATTGGCACTCTGACGAACACATCACATGGAAGATCGTGGATGGCATGACCTTTTGGAAGATCCTCTACAAGAAGGCAGTTTTCATCATGTCGTATGTGTTCGTCAGATGGCTTGTGTAGGTGGCTTGTTCGTCAGAGTGCCGGCCCGCATGTTCGTTGGCACCAGGTCGTGGAGTTTGATTCCTCGCTTCGTGGTCATGTAAGCGGACGTATGTTTTTGAGCTCCGACAGTGAGAGCTCGAATGGGCACGGAGAGTAGTTCCTTTCAGCAATGACACCTAATGAAGTTGGACTAAGCAGTGTACTAACTCTAGTGGTCCTAAGTCCGCACAGAAAGGCCAGCAGCTGATGGCTGATGGCCGCAAAAAGAAAACGACACACACACACACAGCGCAGCACACTTCTCTGTCTGTTTCCCCGCACCAGAATGTGTGCCACACACCTTAAAAGCTGCGCTTATGTTTCTCTTTTTTTCGCGACACCTTTTTTTCTCCACTCGCGGCACGTTTGAGAGCAGGGCCACGACTCGAAGGTGCAAATGGATCAGCTGATGAATCGATTGACGGTGGTGCAGCAGCAACTCTTCCAGAGTTGGGGCGCTCCTCCGACCGCCTCCGCACTCATGGCCCCTCGGATCGCCTCGGATCGCAGCGAAAGGCGCGCGTGCGGGCGCGGGCGCGTTAGATCAGCGTGTGTTCACACGCGGAGCGTGTGCTCAAAGGGTGTCCGTCTTTTGGGAGAAGCGGTTGGGTCTCAAGTTCAATGTGCCAGAATTCGGGGGCGGGAGGATTCATTAATTGTAGACTCAGTCGATGAATTCAAGCCCTCCCAGTTGGATTGTACCTCTTCCTATAGGTGGAATATGGGGGAATCAAGAGTCTACATTAGGTTGCATGAAAGCGGTTGCCAGGCACTGTCAGGCTGGTTGTAGGACTTCTGACATCGTGTTGGAGTGTCCACTGGGTCAGTGTCCACTTCGTAAAGGGGATTGATTGTCAACTGCTCGTCTTTTGCACGCTCTATGGCTTTGGGTGAGTCTTCCACCAGCACCAGGTTCATGTCGCGTGAACCGTTGAGGACAGAGGGACGGCCGCTGCCAAAGTAAGTAGCAAATGTAGCACCGACAACGAGCGAAGCGAAGACCTGCATGGCTTGGTCTGAACTTGGAGATATGTACAGCCAGAGGAGATATGCTTTAAGTTGTCCTCTTAATGTTGAAATGACACAGAAATGGCACTGCATTGTGGCAGCCAAACTGAACAGACACCAGACCAAGAGCAATCCTACTTCAATCTACTTCATAATTGTCAGAATTGCATAAATCTACGCACATCTACTACACTCATTCTTCCGCAGAAATCTGCCCCTTCATTCTTCAATGTTTGCAGATTGGCGTTTCCCGCTCGACAAAGTGCAAATATGTGCAAATCAATAGATTTCGATTGATTTGGCCAAACTAAAGCAACAACTTCCCTAGGGATCCAGTCGTGCCTTCTCAGAAGGTAATTGGACCCTCCTGGCACCTGCATAACAGTGTCTCCGTCTTCACCTTCTGAGGTTCGGTACGAACGGATCGTTAGACCTTGATACCCAATCATGAGGTCATGCAAATCATTAGCCGTGTCAAAAATGGTTGCTACGAAACGTTGGGTGTCGTAGTGATATCACGTCATTTTCAGGCGTACTGATACCTCGTCCTCCTGTGGGAACCTCTGTTGGCCAACTTGTCAGGGTGGACCTTCGATACAGACAGTTGAAGCATGAAATTCCATCGGTCTGCATCAAAAACCGCAGCGCGAGTATCGGCCGAAATCGCTTTCATCGAATAATTAAGTTAAGAATAGTTCAGAAATAGATGTTGAAGAAATGCTGAATCAACAAAGGGTGAAGCAACCCCGACTATGTTCGACCATCCCACTTGGGCACCCCAGGTGACGGGTCCTAGGCCACTGAACCTCTCTTGGAAACCAGCCGCCGGGCGCCGCGGCGCAGCCCAGGCACAGTCCGCCTTGGCTGCGGTGCGCGCTCCGATGGTGGCCACGGGCAAAAAGGCACCGTCTCTCGGCGCTGGGTTCGGACATCGGTCGCTGCGAAGGGCCCGGAGCCGGAGTGAAAGATAGTTAGAATTGACTTCACCTCGAGTCTAGAAACAAGCACTTCCAGTTGAATCAGGAGGGAAGGAAGCTTGGCCCACTCCCCCAACCTCACACCGACCAGCCTCACAAGAGATCTATAAACATTTAGGTCAAGGGTAGACTGGGTAGACGACCTTGAGCCCTTGAGGGTCTATGGTCCTTCTTTTTCAATATGTGTTTCCCACGACACGTTGACCCGTGTACCGCTGACCTGATGTTTGCGGCTCGTTGGTACGGGTTCCGGACCTGTACCTGGCCTTCAACCTGCTGTAATAAGGCTTTTCAGAACATGGGTCTTAAAAGGGTCGAGCAGTTTGGGTTTGTAGACGGCGCCGAGTCATTTCAAAATAGCAAGGTGTGAACCCCTTGATAAAGCCAATATCTTGTGGTTTTCCAATTTCCATTTATATTTGTTGCTCCCCACCTGCCAGGTGAGGGTTGTTAGACTTTATCAGAGCTCTTCTCCCCTTCTTGGGGCGGGAAGGAAGGACGGAAAAGGAACATGAAGGACAAGGACACGAAAGGAAAGGAAAGGGAATGGAAGAAGGAAGGAAGGAAGCCACCCAAGAGCAACCTTCACAATTCACAGGAGAAAGGGGGAAACAAACATTGGAGCATATACCTTTTGTGGGCCATCCAGAGATAAAATCTAGAGCAGCAAAGGAGCTTGCAGTGTGTTTTTCTTGCACACTGTTCTTTGGGGGAGCGGCGCTGCGCCCTCCCCGCAACCCTCCTCCTGCACCACGAAATCTGCATCTCCGGATTCCTGCCTGCCGCGAAATCTGATTTTTAAGGGCCACACCTCTGCAGGAGTGTTCATTCCCTTTCCATTTTCCACTACCTCGCAATTTGGTATCGTGTTCCATGGAAATCCTTGCCAAAAAAACCAAGAACAGAGAAACAAACAACTTGACTTAACCTTGGGCAAAACACAACAGAAACGGATGTAGAAAACAACAACATATAACCTATAATGTTTACTTTCGCTTCAAGGGTACGTATCAAGAACGTTTGTTCTCCATTTGGTTGCCCTCATTTTAAGCTAGCTAGCTAGGCCACAGAAGTTCCTGTTCAAGGTGGTTGAACATCGACATCGGCTGCGTTCATGATCCGTTGTGATGCTTCGCGGAACGGTTCTTTTGCGGACATTGCGAACTCCTTCCCGCGCCGCCCAGAAGGGTTCTGGTGCACCGTATGTGCACGTTTCCTCCACCGAACTCCACCGGCTTCGATTCCAAGGAAGAAGGCCAGTGCCAAGGCGCCGAAGGGTGCCAAGGTGCCGGCATGACGACCGGATGCGACGTCGTGCAGACTGGCCGACCAGTGGCCGGCATGGCAAGCTTGTGTGTGCTTTGAGATATTTATTGTTTAAATGTTTGCTTGGGATGATGGAACCAGAAAACGACAGACACCCAACTGTTAGAAGTGAAACGAGGATAGATTTCCTCAACGGAGGAACCACGCCCATGTGGTTTCCAAACACATGGACACACCTGCGGGTCAAACACATTTAGCACGGGCGACTGGGCTGTACTAGTATGCGTGCGGTAGAAGGCTCCCGGTAGAAGGGTCTTTTAGCAAGCCTTGGGGCAACTCATGCCAGCGACACCGGCGACACCTGTTACTTAGAGGAAAGAAATCCACCTGCATCCTCGGATTCCCTTGGATCCTGGAACCTTCAAAAGAGTGAATAGCAAGACGTCTCCGTTCAATTGACACTGATGGAACTTAAATGTTTGTGGGTCAAAACCTGGAGCGCCAAACCCTAGCACGTTGACCCTCCCAAAATCGTCCAAAAGTGGTCTAGTCTGTTCATTTTCGCTGGTCAACGGGGTCGTCCCCCCAGTTTTGACCGATGGATCCTTTGAAATGACCATGCTGAGCCCTGAAAGTACTCCTTCCAGTTCCAAACCTCCCAAGCCAAGTCTTCAGTAGGGCATACCTTGGCCTGAAGACGATGTAGGTGTTCTCAATTTCTCGAGGTTTCCTTGGAACCACAGGGCCATTGAGCTGAGGGTAGAAGTCAAATTGATGCAATTATCACGCTTGATCCCTGCCATAGGATCACCTCACCCTCCACAGGATTCACGTGCTTTTCAATGTGCAAATGCCCAAATTTAATTTCAGGGATTCAGGGGTTATATATAGTGTTATATATATATACGGTTCCATGCTATAGTCTATAAGCTATGTTGGGTTCTTAAATTTATTCAGGGGTATAGGGTATTTGGTCAGGCTTTCCTGCTTACAGTGGATTGAGAGTAGATGGCACTGGCACCCCAAGATGTCTTTGATATAGGGGTCCATATAAACCACCGACCTTGGGGATTGCGCCATCCACTCTCAACCCAGTATATCCTGCGGATCCGGTGATGCCTCCCTCACCGTTCCGGCCAGGCCGCGCCAGGCCTCGCGTCGCTCACGGCGGCCTCGCTGCGTGCGGAGGCCCCCGAGTTTGTGCCAACCGGCTGGGAGTAGAAACGAGCCACTCGGCCGGAACCTTCCAACCACGCGGCGCGGCCACCGGTGGCCGTGGGGGCCATCATGGTGGTGGCTGAAGTACCTAGGTTTTGCGGATCATATTATTTGTCCTTGCAAGTGGATGTCGACCCAGACGGTCCGATCCTGGTCTTCTCCTTTCTTGGCTGCATAATTATGGTGGTCTAGATGGACCCCGGATCTATTTTAGACATCTTGGTGGTGCCATGGCACCTCTGAAAAAACCACTGCGTTTGAATTTGTGCATCAAAAACTCCCAACAGTTCCAGAGAACGATCCCTCCAGATCATGTCCAGATGGTGAGGCTGTGAAAAACAGATGAGCCGACCGAGCGGGAGCCTGCCGGTCCCTCCCGCACTGCTCTGAGGCTGGCAGAAATTTTACGCCCGGCCGAGTTGAACCCACCGGTTTTCTGCCACTTGTGCAGAGTTGGTTGGGAGTGGTCGAGTGGTCGGAAACCAGAAGCAGCGACCGGAGAAGGAAGCCAAGAAAAATCCAGTGCGAACATCTTGAACACATACGTTGATATCCACTGCGACCATGTGCGACCCGTTCTTTTTCTCGGACATATGTTCTTAGTTCTTTCGTGTAGGCGATATGTTTGTTTCGACCCGTTCCAAGTCCCAGACGCTCCATGTATGGAACATTTACATGCATTGGGATGATTTCAGGGGTCAATGTAGCCACATGTAGCCACATATTACATAGGGAGTGGTAAACATTGCTGTTCTACCATTTTTCTGAACTTTTATTGCACGCGCTGTCGAGGTGAGAGGATCACAGTGATCGTGGCTTAAGTGATGCGCGGGGCACTGACCGGCACTGGCCGCTGAATAAAAAGAAGCCGGTGACACCTGCTCCAACCGGATTGGGGGGTTGTATATAAGCTTTCTGGCGTTTTTTGTGTGGGGTCTTTGTGTTGACTCTTGCTTGTTTCGTTGATATGCTGTCGTCAGGTTGTCGTGATGTGTTTCTTGACTTGCTGTGATATGTTGTCGTGATGGTATGGAACACCTGTCTCAGGTTTCAGATGCCCAAACGCCCAAAAACAACCTTCAATTTACATATTTGAGGTCCAGAACCTGTTGAACATCACTGCTGTGTTGTTTGGAGTTTTACCTTGCCTGGGGGGGCAATGTTCCACTTCTAGAAATGCCCTTTGCTAAAAAACATGTAATTGCGAGAGGTGGTTAGGACGATCACTGTTTTGGCAGTCTGTTTTGTTCTCCCTAGGCTTCCAACCACCGCTAATTTAGTGGGCTTTACCGAACCAGCTGAGGCTTTCACATGACTTCACACTACAAAACCAGGTCAACCAATGGTTGTATTTTACTGGAAGTCTAGCGTTCTCATATAGGGCTAGGTCTTATTGGGGCACTCGTGCGCCCCTTGGGGACAACGAATCCTCGCGAGTGAAGATGATTCCTTCAGGGAGTGGTTGCACGTTCCGAAGAGACTAGGAGTGCCGGGGTGTCCAAATCTCGCAGCAGGCGCAGCCTGGGAGGCCCAGGATTTGTTTGCAGGCAGCTTTGCACGTTAGCATGTGCTAGCCACTGTGACCCTAGACATCCCTAGACCATCCTAGACCAATCTTAGCTCCCCTACCTGGTCCCTACCTCCTTGTCCGAAGTCTTTGCCATGACTTCTTGGACCACTAGAGGGTAGGGGGATGCCCATTGAACAGCTTGAGCCTCCGCCACACCTTACACTGCCGTTCGACTTGTCCGGGGTTTCCTTGCTGGAGAGGATCTTTCACTACATGGGCGGTGCCTTCATATACGTCCGCAACAACTACTGGACGAGGCTCGAGATGGCTCGACGAATCCATCGGGCTGCACGCCGTCCGTCGTCGTCCTTGCCGATCGGTGGGGCCGGGAGGGGGCGCAGCTGCCAGCGTTGGGTGCGGAGTCCTTCACGTGCGGGCGCACGACGGTTCCAGCTTGTTTGGGTCCTTAGTGACGGTGAGGAGCAAAAACTGAACATGATCCCGGCCAGAGAACCCAAACAGTGTGTGTGAGGTCTATAAGCAGAAAGTCTAGGTGTTTTAAACTAGTTCCTCTCTTGGTTGGGGGCTGGACGCCTGGGGCGCCTGGGGCGCCTGGGGCGCCTGGGGCTGGATGCCGGCCGGTGTGGCCAAAGAGTCCCGTGGTGCGGTGCTTTGTGGTCTGGGACACGGGGACACGGAGTGTGACAGACACAAGAGGTGGGGCTGTGAGGGGGAGCAATGGCAACGAATCTGAAAGATGTAGGCGGGAATATGGAGGAATCGTTTCCTCTAACAGCGCATGTTGGGGCTTCATTGTTGCAGGCGAGATCAAGCGGAAGCTTGAACATATTTCAGGGAAATGTGGTTCCAGAACAGATTTGATGTGAATATCCTGGAGTGGCACATTTGATGGAGTTCTGTCGGTCACCTTGCTTTCCCTGCAGTTCATTGGGGGCATCATCACCATTGCCACCCCCGTGGCTGGAATCAAAGTCGGATGAACAGACCCAACTCGGACAGAGGTGGAAGTCCCACGGATACCCTACAGCATTGGCCCCAGATTTCATCCCCAGACTTGCCGTGGCCAGATTGTTGTGTAGCTTCCTGCTCTTTTCTCGGATGGCCGCTTGGACTTGCCGTGGATCACCACCCACGTGACAAGATCGATTTCGCTGCGGCCTCTTCGTTCTCAAAAGAATCCAGTCCGATGCCAGTTTCGGCTACTCTGTCAGTCTCCTCGATGCGCATCGGGTCCCCATCGCAGACGAGGCTTTCACGATCTTTCATGTATTTGTTTTCGATTTGATGTGGACAGGTTACAGCTGGTGAACCAGTGCTGGGCCTTGGCACACAAGCAGGAAGAGGCGCGGCAAAACGCGGCCATGTGCACCATGCAAGCTGCTCCGGCAAGGGATTTCAAGCCTTTTGGAGCACAGAACATGTGGGATTCCAACTTGTCCTTAACAAATAGCCTTTCATCAGACCGTCCACAGATGTGCTCCTCCAAAGCAACTACACCATTGCAAGTACCAATAGAACGCCTGATAAATTATTACTGTAATTAAATATATAAGATCTACTATCGATGATAACTAGATCATACTAGATCCAATACCCAGACACTCCATATATGCCGATCAATTGACCCCACCTGGCACCACCCCAACTGATCAGCATATATGGCAGTCCCATGGAGTGTCTGGGATAGGATCGTGGGCGAACACCTCAGATGGAGCCACCTGAGAGTCGGACCTTTCCTTCCTGTTCTCGCTCAGGGAGCTCAGGGCTTTGAGGGCGATGGCGACGAGGGGGGTGAGCAATCTCCCAAAAAGCCGCTCGGCTTGGAGGATCGCAAGTAGCTTGGAGGCCATGGACTTTGGTTTCGTGTGGCCGCGGAGTCTTCAGGGCGCAGGTTCGGAGAGTTTGGGCCCGGTTTGGGCCGGGCTCGGCACCGTTTTCTCTTTGGGGTGCGGGGGGCTTAAGCAACCTGGGCACGGGCACGGCAGTGGCTGGGCGAACTTCTCAGGCTCCCAAGAGCATTGAGAGATATTCAGATATTTTTTGGTGGGGATCCGGGTTTGGCGGATCAGGTGTTTCTTTCAATATTTTCCTATGGTTAAATCCGTTCAAAACGGTATTTGTATATATATATATATACATATTTGTATATATGTTGTGTATCTTTCCAGCTTAAGCAAATCCAAGGGATGGAACAACATGTTGAGGGTTCCAAGTTTGTGGTGGAAGGCGTTTTTGGATTGACACCCTCCTGTACCTCTACCCTCCTCAGCCCGGAATTGAAGTATGTTATGCAGCCCTTGTTTATGCCACCTGGTCGGAAACTGAACGTGTAGCGGTGTTCATTTGATGAAGTGGTTGAATTCCCCCTTTTTTGACCTGGCGGACGGTGAGAAATCATATGATTGTTGGTATTTGGGAGGGGGGAATGGGTTGGGGATGATGTTGTTTGGTTCATCATTTCGTTCGAGTTGCAGCAGGAATTTGGACAAGTCTCAACAACATTTGGGGAACCCTTCTGTGGACCTTTTAAATGCGGATATGAATTGTGCTTTTGGTGCATACTGTGCGAGAATCTTCTTGCAGCTTTCGCCAAAGAGCTCTCAAAAACTACTCTGACCCCCAGCCATGCGCCAATCAAAAGAGCGAGTGACAAGCGTGACCACTTCTCAGTTCTCTGATCTTCTCTGGGAAAATGCATGCAGTGCCGAAAAACACACTCATGAAACCAAAAGTTCTGCCCTCCATTCAACGCAGTTCATTTGAATCAGCACCGTCAGTGTTCTTATAGGCAAGTCTCAGAGGATTGAGAGTGGTTCGGTTGCGCTGCCTCCCCAGGTTTCGGCGGTTTCGACCGGCATCTTGGGGAACCAGGGCTCGTCCAACCTCGGAAACCCTAGGCGGTGACTGCAGACTGTCTATAGAAGGTGTTGCCGGCTCCAAAGATCAACAGACCCTTGCCAAGACTTGTGTGTTCAAACTTCAAACCTGATTAAGAGCCAACACGTCAGTTACGAGTTCACCAATATTGAGGCAACTGTCTACTAGTACGGCCTTGTATCCGATATCATCAGCTTGCTGCCGCCAACACCCCTATAGTCAACGCATCTCTATCAAAGAACTCCTCCAACTTCGCACATGGAGACCTCGCCATGGTCAACACTCCTCGCATCCTCATGGCACCAATCGCGGCGGACAACCACCGCCATGCAACTCACCTCCGCCTCACCCGCCGAACATTCGCACCGCAACGCACCATCGCACCCGCCGAACGTGCGGACTGCCCAGGGGGTCTGAAAAGAGTGAAAAGGCTGAGAAGTCGCCCAACAAATCGGGCAAAGGCCGCCGCGGAGGGTGAATTCGCCCGCTTAGGGGAGCGTCTCCAGATGCTGCGTGGGGCCCACGGGGTGTTGGAGCGTTTCTGCGATGGGATACATGGGAGGGGGAAGTGAGACATCTAGCTTCTTATTGCAAGATAGTATTAGCAATGCCAGGAGCTACTGGTAGCTTCTTGCTCCCCTCACAATGCTTGGCCACGATCCCAAAATCCATCAAAATCCACAGCCATTGATTCTCTCGATGGACCCAGCGCGCTTGTTATTATTGTACTGTTTCATGAAGCGCTATCAGGTGCAGGGGTGGAGGGTTGCCTGACACCAGTATTGCGGCCAGAACATGAACAATTATGGATCCATTTATGTAGGGGCTACTGGGGCGGGCCCAGTCGTACGGAACCTGAGAAATTGTCAGTGCAAGAACATGTTTGGAATCACCCAAGGTCTGTTCACTTGCCTTGACCCGCTTGACTCCTCCACCAAGAACTGCTCGGCGGGGTTCTTCTCGCGGTCTGTGCTCAGACGGTCCGTGCGTTGCTCATCGGTGCTGATGTGCCGCATCAGCGAACCGCGCCATGGGCGTGTGCGTGGCGAAGCAGGCGACGGCGCGCGATGGGCAAAGCCCACAGGGAGATGGCCGGAAGACACCCGGTCGAGGAGGGCGTTCGCGCGTTCCAGATGTTGAGAGAGAGGCTTTCTATAGGGATTTTGGAGGGTAGCGTGTGATTTCGCATCGCCTTTTCACAAGAGAAACGACGAGGGTAGAGGGATGTTCTTGGTGGATATTTGAGTAAACCTGAGTGAAATGTACAACGTGATATGCATCATTGATAGCACAAATTATCCATACAATTCACAACATGCATCGTAGAATTTGCACCCAGTATTTTTTGAAGTGTGCCTCTCTGGCTGTGGACATAGACATAGACAATCATAAACATTTTGATTGTCCCATTGTGGATAAATATGGCCTTGAGATGATTTTCATTTA